GGGGGGGGGGCAACAGTGGGAGGGCTTCTGGAGTTCTGGCCTTGCTGGTGGGCCTCCTGATGGCACCTGGGTTTTGGCCCCTGTGTGACGCAGAGTGTTGGACTGGATGGGCCACTGGCCTGATCCAACATGGCTTCTATCACGTTCTTATGACTGACCACTGTGTGAAAGAAGACGTTGGACAACACAGATCATTGGTCTGCTCCAGTAGGTCTGCTCTTAGGTCCTTATGTATCGTATGTATTTTATTTTACAAAATTTAAAACCCGTAGCTACTCTTTCCTCCGAAGGGGAACCAACCCGGGTAAGCGCCGTTACCTGGAACTTCTCTCCACTCAGGGGAATGGGGTGTGCACGACACTAAACCTCTGCCTCTAAGAGGGAATCGAAATGAACTTTGGTCGGGGCTGTAAAAATGTTTGGCTGACTGCGCCAATGGCCTTTGCTGGCTGAAAATTATTATACCGTATTTAACAGCCCAAAGGCCCATCTCTAACATATTTAACAGGCCAAAGGCCCATCAGGGCGGCCCTGTTAGCCACCCTGAGCCTGTCTCAGCGGGGAAGCCGGGGTATAAATTAAATAAACAAACACACACACTAGAAGCCAAAGACACCGCTGACTTGGGAACCAAGGTCAGTCCTCCCAACCCACTCAGGATGCAAACGCCACCGGGCTAGATTCAATCTGTTACACTCAAGCAGGAGTCCCCCTCCAAGCTTGCAGCTTCTTGAGGTGGAGGATTAAGGTCCCCGTCTCATGTATGGCTGCGAGAGTTGGACTATAAGGAAGGCCGAGCGCCGAAGAATAGATTCTTTTGAACTGTGGTGCTGGAGAAGACTCCTTAGAGTCCCTTGGACTGCAAGAAGATCAAATCAGTCAATCCTCAAAGAAATCAACCCTGACTGTTCCCTGGAAGGCCAGATAGTGAAACTGAAGCTCAAATACTTTGGCCACCCAATGAGAAGGGAGCACTCACTGGAGAAGACCTTGATGCTGGGAATGATTGAAGGTCAAAGAAGACAGGGACGGCAAAGGATGAGATGGTTAGATAGTGTCACAGATGCAACGAACATGAAATTGAGCAAACTTCAGAGGACGGCGGAAGACAGGAGGGCCTGGCGGGAGCTGGTCCATGGGGTCGCAAAGAGTCGGACTCGACTGTGCAACTGAACAACAAAAACAACTCTCTGACCCATGCAAACTGCCCCCCCCTCGACCCACGCTCTGTTCCCCACCTGGAAGTCCTTCAGCTCCACGATGTGTGGGTGGCGGATGGTCTTCAGGATCTCAATCTCCGTCAACAGGTTCTCCACGGACGCCTTGTTGAGGGTCTTCTTGTTGACGCACTTGACGGCTACCACCTCCCGGGCGTTCTTCTACCGGGGCAAAAAGAAAAGAAGAAGGGAAAGACCCTCAAATCTGGTGCTTTCCGGGAGATCCTGGCGGGCCGAGACCTGAGTTATCTAGACCTGTTTCAGAGGAGAGTCGTGTCGATCTGCAGTAGAAGAGCGAGATCCGAGTCCAGAAGGATCTTACGAACCACCATGATTTTGGGGGTAAAAGGTTTCAAGGTGTCAGCAAGCTGCCAAAAGTTCATTGTTGTCTATATGTTTCTCTATGCATCTTCCCCCCCCTCCATAGATGCACTCAGCTTGTCACGCGCACATCTCCCCAGTAGCTCTGCATTCCTTTCAGTATACGGCAGCCATGCTTTTTTTAAAAAAATTTTTTATTGTTTTTATAGAGAAAAGGAAAATAAGCATTACATACGACACATACTTACAAATTCCAAGTTTCTACATATAGCATTTAAGACGCTGATAGTTTCATGTCCAACCACACATCATACATCTCTATTGCTGTACCACAAGTTTATCCATTTACTTCTATAGATACAGCCATTTATGGTAAATTTGTTTAGCTGGGAGAATATCATTCTTCACCATGTACTCTAGCACCGGGGCCCAGGTCCTGACAAATATAGTATACGCCAGCCATGCTTTGATGTAACGTTATCTAGCCAAGGCCACAGGTGGAAGAGCAAGAGATCTTTGCTTTGTCTTTAATTAGTAGAGACTGTGAGAATCGTATGCTTATTGATAATAAGGTTTAGGCGCGCAAGAAACCCTTTAGCCGCGCGCGGGAACCATGTTTATTGGCTATAATGATTATGAACTTGCTTTAACCTTTCCAGCTCTCCGAGCTATCGTTATTCTGAACAGTGACCCTGTTTAAGTGCTTCATGGCTTCAGTAAAGTAAAACCTTCTTGCAAGTGTGTACTACGTTGTTTACTGTGGGGACCTGACACAAGGGTCAAAGCTCTCTTCGTCAGATACTACTCTCTGACCAGTGGAGTTTTGACTCTCGAAAACTGGTACCCTGAAAACGTTGTTGGTCTCTAAGGTGCTTCTGGACTCAAGTCTACTGGACAGAACAGTTTTCCAAACCATGGACGTTGCAACCTCTTGCCCAAGACCCAGTCCCTGACTTGGCAACCCGGATGCAGGAGACTGAAGGGGCAGGAGAGACAATTCACCTTGGACACATGAGGCTGCCTCATACTTAGAGATGTGAAGGCTCGGGAATAAACCGGGAAAATTTTGGGGAGGGAACGTCCCCCCCCCCCATTTTTTTCCTGAAGCCTTTTTTGTTTTTTTTCCCGAAAAATTGAAAAAAGAAAAGAAAAAAAATTGATTATGGAACGTTTTATTTTAACATGATGAATAAAATATTTCAAGACAAGGTGTTCAAATATTCTCCAAATAATTTCTAAAAAATATGTATGGTATCAGATTGATCTAATTTCTGTGCACTGAGGACGAGCAAGTCCTAGGTTACAAACTGAACTCTCCGATGCAAGAACAAGATACAGTTCTTCCTTTAGGAGGTGCTATTGTCACAGCAAAAGAAAAAGGATTCAGTTTTGCATGTGGGTGGGTATTCTGTTTGTAATAATTGTTTGGATACACTGTTTTTAATATGCTGGTCATGATAATTTCATGCCAAGAAAAAATGTCTATAGTCATATTTTATGTTCCTAAAGTAACAGAACGACTTTCAATCTGGAAAAGAAAAAAGAAGTGCTAATGTAGCATTTATTTTCCATTTTTCCGAAAATTTCTGTTTCCCTCTGGAAAAAAGCAGGGAAAAACTGGGGGTTTTTTCCGGGTTTCAAAATTTCCGGAAATTTTACATCTCTACTCATACTGAATCAGACCCTTGGTCCGTCAAGGTCAGTGTTGTCTATTCAGGATGGCACCAGCCCTCCAAGGTCTCAGGCAGAGGTCTTCCACATCACCTACCGTCTGGTCTTTTCAGCTGGAAATGCCGGGGATTGAACCTGGGACCTTCTGTATGCAAAGCAAATGCTCTAGCACCGAGCCAGGGCCCTCCTGTGAGGGCTATCTCTCCGAGACTCACCTGGTTTTCACCCCCACAGCAACAATGAAGTACACTCTTGCAGGAAGGTTTTACTTTATTTGAAGCTATAGGTGCATGTACATGAGTACTGTTAGGAATGGGGAAAAATCTACGAGCATGGCATGTTATAGTACATTCAAACAACTGAGGCCCAATTGCGGGAGTTCCCCCGTGCGCCATTGGGCCTGGGAGCAAACGCTTCTAGGCGGCATAAGCTATCTCTTTCCCACGGTTTTCGTGAGATCACCCAAGCAACTATCCAGCAGCAACCACCTGTGGCCTTGAGAGATATGGATGTTCCAGCAGCTAAGCAATTTAGCGCATCAACAGGTTTACATGTGAAAGCGAAAGCAACCAAGCGCATACATGAAGAAAGAAAGAAAAAAAAAACATTGGCAGCTTGCTGACAGATCCTTGCCAAAGCTCGAAGGCACCTTTTACACTCCTGTGTCACACCTCCCCCCAAAAAAAACTTTGTTTCCCCACTTTGCACGACACCAAGGCCACCTGCCTTTGCCCACCTTCACACCGATCCCCTGCCAAACTCCCCTCCACCGGCCTTTTTGGCTGGAAAACACTCTTCCAGATGCACATGCACACAAACAAAACCAATGTAGATGCACTCCTGTGAAATAATGGCTTTGCATGCACATAAGAACATAAGAAGAGCCCTGCTGGATCACACCAGTGGTCCATCTAGTCCAGCATCCTGTCTTACAAACAGTAGCTAACCAGTTTCTTTGGAGGCAGGTCAAAGAGGCTGAGGCCTTCCCCTGATAAGAACATCAGAAGAGTCCTGCTGGATAATACCAGTAGTCCATCTAGTCCAGCATCCTGTCTCACAAAGTGGCCAACCAGTTCCTCTGGAGGGCCAACAACAGGGCAGAGAGGCCGAGGCCTTCCCCTGATGTTGCCTCCTGGCTCTGGTATTCACAGGTTGCCTGCCTCTGAATGTGGAGGCTAAGAACATCAGAAGAGCCCTGCTGGATCAGACCAATAGTCCATCCGGTCCAGCATCCTGTCTCACACAGTGGCCAACCAGTTCCTCTGGAGGTCCAGCAACAGGGCATAGAAGCCGAGGCCTTCATAAGAACATTAGTAGAGCCCTGCTGGATCAGACCAGCGGTCCATCTAGTCCAGCCTCCTGTCTCACACAGGGGCCAACCAGTTCCTCTGGAGGGCCAACAACAGGGCATGGAGGCCGAGGCCTTCATAAGAACATTAGAAGAGCCCTGCTGGATCAGACCAGCGGTCCATCTAGTCCAGCCTCCTGTCTCACGCAGTGGCCAACCAGTTCCTCTGGAAGGCCAACAACAGGGCAGAGAGGCTGAGGCCTTCCTCTGATGTTGCCTTCTGGCTCTGAGATTCAGAGGCTCAGTGGGGTTCTTGTTATGATTCATTTGTCACAAGCTGCCAGTAATTTTATGTCAAGGAAAGCAAGATGTTAATTTTCGCCCACCAGCTCTCCTGCTCTCAAACCTGACATGTTGCCTGCTTCTGATGATACCTCAAACTGCTGCCACTCGACTTCAGACTTGGAATTTATTTTTCTACAGTCCCCATGGACGACCAAGGCCTTTCCCATGCACGACGCAGAACTGCATGCTCGGGACCAGTATTCCCTCTGAGCCGAGTTAGTGTGAGCTAGCTCAGAGTTTTTGAGCCTCCGGCTCACAGATTTTTGCCTTCGCTCAGGAAGGAGGGCTCCAGAGCAAACTCATTTATGCAGTAGCCAGATTGCTCACTTACAACTTTAATGCCAGTCGCTCACAAAGTAGAATTTTTGTTCACAAGACTTCACAGCTTAGAGGGAGCATTGGCTGGGATCTCTTAGGGCTTTATGTAGACCCTGCTGTAAAAGGTAAAGGTTTCCCTTGCTCAAAAGCCAGTCGAATCCAACTCTAGGGGGTGGTGCTTATCTTCGTTTCCAAGCCGAAGAGCCAGTGCTGTCTGAAGACTTTTCCGTGGTCATGTGGCCGGCCTGACTAAACTGAGCAGCCCCCAATTCTTTTTTTTTAAAGTACCCATATGGTACACTTTTATTATTTTTCACATTATACGCCAACAAACATACTACATAACAAACATCCACTTACACACATAAAACATACAAAGAGATCAGTATATTTTCTTACCTAAGGGACCGCCTTTCCCCACATATTCCCCCAAGAGCACTACGGTCGGGGAAACAGAACTTGCTGGATGTACCAGGTCCCCGGGCTACTAAATGCATTGTGACCAGGAATAGGGCGTTTTCGGTGGCGGCTCCTATCTGGTGGAACGAGCTCCCAGAGGAGATCAGGGCTCTGCGGGACCTAGCACAGTTCCGCAGAGCCTGCAAGACGGAGCTCTTCCGCCAGGC